ACCAGGTCTTTGCCGAGGTCCCGCACCTGCTGGCCGAGGTGTGGCTACCTAGGCTTCGGCGTGCGGCTGCATGCCGAGGTGCGCACAAGACAAACTAAAGGTGTAAGTGATCATGCAAGGTAGACCAAGGTGAGATACGATGCTTAGCCTAAGTGTGAGGTCTAGGTAAGAGTGATCTCGGCGACTACACCTCGGGAAATGAGGTCTAGAGATCTGGGTTTCCACCCGTGAAGAACAAGAAGAACAAATGATCTCGGGACAACATGCTGGAAGTCAAAACACTGTTTTACATGTCAGGAAGACATGCTGGGTACCAACCAGGTCTTTGCCGAGGTCCTACACCTCCTGGCCGAGGTGTGGCTACCTAGGCTTCGGCGTACGGCTGCATGCTGAGGTGCGCACAAGACAAACTAAAGGTGTAAGTGATCATGCAAGGTAGGCCAAGGTGAGATACGATGCTTAGCCTAAGTGTGAGGTCTAGGTAAGAGTGATCTCGGCGACTACACTTCGGGAAGTGAGGTCTGGAGATCTGGATTTCCACCCGTGAAGAATAGGAAGAACATGAACATGAAGATCATGAAAAGCATGAATGCTAAAATCATAACTTCTTTGTTACAAAAATCTGGGATTTCATGCTATGAGTTCGAAAACATGGACCTGGGTACCCATACTTGAAAATCATATGGAAACAAACACAAAAACATGGATCTAGGCATGAGTTTTCGGATCAAACATGACTTTTCTTAAAGAACACATGAATGCTATTTTCTCTTTCTAAAACCGAACTTCAAAGCAATGCATGGCTTACAAATCATATTCAATCATGCAATGCAATAACATAAACATAAGGAATAACATGCGCAGATCAAGAATCTAATCTTAGAACACGGATCTAACGGTTTGATCTCTAGGAATCAAGCTCGAAAGCCCACTCTCTCACTCTAAAACTTCTCTTCCTCACCTAGAGCTTCTTTCTCCTCTTCAAAACAAAGATATAGAAATGATAGGTTTCTCCCTCTGCCGGCTGACTTAACACTCAGCTCGGACACGTGGCAACGGTTGGTTGGTTCTCCTAAAAAAGGTGATAGATTGACAAGACAAGACTACGACAAAGTGTATCTAACAAGCTACCCGATAAGGCACTCCGGCAAGTGATGACATCGGCTAAGGACAAAGTTTCGGCAACTAAGGTGACAATGACCTTGGCTAGGAAGGACAACACTTGACTAAGCTGTGCCACACCTTGGCCTAGATGTGCCACACCTCAGTCTAGGTCATACCACTCTAGGACAAGATCACTTAGGTGCAAAGGTAACATTTTGGCCTAGATAATACACATCTCAGCCTTGGTGATGAACACCTCGGGCTAGATAATGACATGTCGGCCAATATGTCAGGGCGAAGGTAGAGGTCAAACCAAGGGGTTCCAAGATAAATTCTAGACTGACGGTGACCTCGGCTTGGAATGATCTAGGCTTAACATAACCTAGGCTTGGCATGACCTAGACTTAACATAACTTAGGCTCGAGACACCAAGGAAGGAACAAAGCATGCACACAACACTTAGACAAATCACATGAACACAAAACAAGGCAAGATTCATGAATGCAAACTTAACATGGCAAAACATATAAATGCATGCAAACATGACTAGGACATGAATGTGGGTTGTTACACGAGCTATGTGTTGCATGTGAAGGCGCTGGATTAAGTGTGACAAAGGGCTAGTGTTAGCTCAGTCATACTGTCATCCAACCGAAGTAAAACTATCTCACTTGGTTTAAGCAGTGAGAGGGATGTTGAAGGATAAATATTATCTTTCAGGAGTGTGATTCCTAGGAGGACTCTACATGGAGGAATAAGAGTCCTACTATGATTGTGCCAGGCAAAAACTATAAAAGCTCACACAATAACTTATGTAGAGGTAACACAATTTTAATTCTCGAATACACAGGTCTTTTGTCTATTTGTCTATTTGGCTGACTTTGGCATTGGAGAGGTATCTGGCACACCCCTCCCGGCTAGCTCACGTTTGTGTTTTCAGGGAGTAACGCGACGACGTTTGGAGGAGTGAAAACTTGACTAACAGGATAATACGAGAAGATTATTTCGTGCTCGTACAAGTAGTAGTACAACAAAAATTACAGATTAAAAAGAAACTTATACGTTTTAATAATTAAATTAATACATTTTTTATGATTTTACATTTTATTTGTAGGATTACCAGTGTTTATTCTCCCTTCCCTAAATAGCCTTCAAAACTACAATTGGTGGATTAGTAGAGAAAACAATATTTTTCATAGGAATATGTTAGGTTCGATTATTGGAGAATGCAGAATGTTAACTTTATCTAACTAAATTCTGCAAAATGTTGATTTTGTCTAACTAAATTCTTTAAGATGCTCCACATTTAGGGCTGCAAACGAGTCGAGCCGAGCGGAGCTTTGCTGAGCTCGAGCTCGGCTCGTTTACTTGTCGAGCTTGTTTATTGAGCTCGAGCTCGGCTCGATAAGGAACTGGGCTCGAGCTCGGCTCGGCTCGGCTCGGCTCGACTCGTTAATTTTAATGAAACTCGAGCTCGGCTCGATAAATTATTTTTAATATTATTTATATTATTTAATATATATAAAATGTATTTATATTATTATTTATATATATATTTATATATTATTTAATATATAAATAATATTATTTATATTATCTATTATATAAATAATGTATTTATATTATTATTTATATATATTTATATATATTATTTGATATATAAAAATATATTTATTATATAATTTAAATAAAGATAAACGAGCCGAGTTTATGCGAGTTCGAGCTCAGTTCGTTTACTAAACGAGCCTAATATTCGAGCTCAAGTTCGGCTCGTTTACTAAACGAGCCGAGCCGAGCCGAGCCCTTAACGAGCCGAGCTGAGCTTGTTCATAAACAGCTCGGTTCATTTGTAGCCCTATCCACATTATACTTTAATCCATATTTGATATATTCTATGAGACGTGACTAAACTCCATTAGAAACCTTCGTGGTAAATCCTTTTATTTAAATTGAGTTAAATCCAACCAATTACTCATGAGTCAAATCCGTTGTTGTTGTTGTGATGTCTCAGGAATCTTTTTTTTTTGGGGAATAAATTACAAATACATTTCATATTGCTTAAACGGTTCCGATAGGTAGCTCAAATTTGAAGGCTCAAATTCGGAGAAGAAGAAGAAGAAGAGAAGAAGAAGAAGAAGAAGAGGAGGAAGGAGGAGGAGGATGAGGAAGGAGAAGGACTGGAGGGGGCATAATCACAGGGAGAGGAGGAGGCGGAGGTGGGACCGAAGGTGACGGCGGTGGTGCTGCGACGATCGCTGGTGCTGCGACGATCGGCGGCGGCGAGGCGACGGCGGTGGTGCTGCGACGATCTCCTCTCATCCTCTCTCTTTCTCCCTCTCTCCTCCTCTTTCTCTTCTCCTCTCTTCTTCCTCTGCTTTTCTCCTGTGTTCAACGAAGAAGAAGAAGAAGAAGAAGAAAAGAAAGAAAGAAAAGGTAGAAAAAAAAAATCGAAATCCAAAACGACGTTGTTTTGGGTTTCGAGCCGAGTTCAGACCACCGAATTCGAAGTACGAGTCATTTTCCTTGCTTAAAATATGAATTATTTTTTGTGATTTGGAAAATTATAATACCTCATTGTAAAAAAAAAATTATTTAATAGAAGAAAACAAAATTTATAACTGTTTACCTATACAATAATAAAATTATTTAAATTATTAATTGATTTTTTTAACATTATTAAAAATTATTAATTAACTTGATAATTTATTAATAAAATGACATATTTAGGGTTGGTTTGGCATAAACTAAATAATACAAAAAAAGAAGAGAAGAAGAAGAAGGAAGAAGAAGAAGAAGAAGAAGAAGAAGAGGATGAGGAATGAGGAGGAGGAGGAGGAAGGAGGAGGACTGGAGGGGGCATAATCACAGGGAGAGGAGGAGGCGGAGGTGGGACCGAAGGTGACGGCGGTGGTGCTGCGACGATCGGCGGCGGCGAGGCGACGGCGGTGGTGCTGCGATGATCTTCTCTCCTCCTCTCTCTTTCTCCCTCTCTCCTCCTCTTTCTCTTCTCCTCTCTTCTTCTGCTGCTCTTCTCCTGTGTTCAACGAAGAAGAAGAAGAAAAGAAAGAAAGAAAAGGTAGAAAAAAAAAATCGAAATCCAAAACGACGTCGTTTTGGGTTTCGAGCCGAGTTCAGACCACCGAATTCGAACTACGAGTCATTTTTCTTGCTTAAAATATGAATTATTTTTTGTGATTTGGAAAATTATAATACCTCATTGTAAAAAAAAATTTATTTAATAGAAGAAAACAAAATTTATAACTGTTTACCTATACAATAATAAAATTATTTAAATTATTAATTGATTTTTTTAACATTATTAAAAATTATTAATTAACTTGATAATTTATTAATAAAATGACATATTTAGGGTTGGTTTGGCATAAACTAAATAATACAAAAAGTCAAAAAGTCACTATTCTATTTAAGTCACATCATCTTATTTAAATCAGATCAATAAGTCAATAAGTCAAAAAGTGCACCTGTTTGGAATGACCTAAATAAGTGTATTTTTTATCTTTTTACGAAAAGATGTGCAGAAAAGTAGAGAGGTGATGTGATGGAAAAAAGATAAAAAGATAAAAAGATGAATTATTTTAGTGTTGCCAAACTTAACCACAACTCATATAAATTAATAAGTTAAAAAATATACTTTTTTAAAACATCTGAAGCTAACCCTTATTATGAAATTAAAAATCGTACAAGACATAATATAATTTCTAAAACTATAAGCATAATTTGTAATTTAACTCCTGTGTCTGTAATTTAGGGGTGGGCGCGGGTCGGTTGCGGCCACGGAACCTCCAATCCGCCATCCGTCCGCCATATTGGCGGATTGAAGAAAATCAATCCGCATCAAGAAAGAAAAAAGAAAAAAGAAAAAAAAGTAGCCTTCAAAACCCAAAAATCCAATCCGCCGCATTTCCCTCTCCCCAACTCCTCCTCCGCTACTAAACAAAAGCCATGAAAGCACTGGTTTTCTCACCTCCACCACCATTCCTCACTCCAAACCTCACTACGTTCCCCACAACACCGTCACTACACCTAATTCCAAGCCTCACCTTCCCTTCTCTCAAGCTCAATTCCAACCGATTTCCCACTCCTCCGAGGCCAGACTTCAAGGTCCGGGCCGACGACGGCGACGCCGACGGCGGAGGCGACGACTACGACATGGACGAAGAGGAAGCCGAGGAGGTCGATAACAAGAAGGATTACGACGTCGAGTACGAGCCCCTCGCCTCCACCATGGCCGCCGCCGACGGAGGCGGCGACGAAGATATCGCCGTCGTACAGAGCAAGAGCTTCGTGTCGACGCAGGGTTGGGACTCCGAGACTATCGTGAATTATAGGATTAACGAGGATGAATTTCATAAGCTTAGCTTGCTCGACTGTGATTTCTTCATCAGGAAGCCCGCAGATCCTGATAACGATGTCTATGATTTCAGAGAGGTAATGAATTATCTCTATGAAGATGTTCAGTAGAGTTCTATTTTGATTTCTATGTGTTTGTTTGAATTCAGACTTTTTGAACAAATTATTATATGCAAATGTTGATTATTTAGGGCTTTGTTTGGTTGTGTAGATGTATGTTACTCCTCCGGATACCGATATATACTCCATTCCTAAGGTCCTTGCCCCAATGCCTCAGAAGGTACATTAGTATTTTTGAATTTGATTGAATTCTCTAGAGATGCATTGGTTACTTTAGCCCTATGTTTCGGAAATTAGGAGAAAAAGGAAAAAAATATGTTACTTAAGTTGAGTAGGAGAGAAAGGGAAAGAAAAGAAAATACTTATTCTCTCTAATTTTTTTACATTTCTTTTCGTAAAAAATAAAAAAATTAATTAAAATAGATAGCTTCTAAAAAAGAAAAGAAAAGAAATGTTTTCATGTTATATTACCAAAATATCAATTTTATATTTGGTGACCATATAAGTGAGGATATAGTGTCAATATCTATTTTTTCTTTTATATCTACAAGGGTAATATTGGGATTATGAAAATGTAATAATCTCCTGGTTTCTTTTCTCTTCAAAATGAGTGTTTGAGGAGAAATTGGTTTATCTCCATTTCTATTCTCTTTGTAATCCAAACAAGTGATTGAAACCCATTTCTCTCTGTTTCATTTATTTTCTCTCCAAATCACTCAAATCAAACAAAGAAGTTGATCTGACTAACATTTTAGTTAACTGATTTGGTAAATGATTTTTATACTTATTATTTTAATTGGTTGGTAATGCTTTAATTTTTATTTTTATTTTATTGAAACGATAGTACATTCGATGTGCAAGGAGCGATTATGGATGCTACAATGTTACGGAACCGCCAATTGATGCTCCCCGAGATCCTTTGTATAAAACTGAAAGGGAGATATCAAAGGTACGAGTGAATTGTTGATGTTTGCCATGTTAATCTTTATCTGTGAAAGCTTGTTTCTATATAATAAATCCAAGAAATGCTTATTGACTATTTGTATATGGACCTTTTCCACCTTATTAGACTTGGTGATCATCATACCATGATATCTCATCCAGTAATTTTACTGATCAGTAGCAAATCATGTTTTTTTTTTTTTTCTTTCAAGAGCAAGTTTTGAAATAGAGGCAATGTTTAGCATGGGTTCACTTACTCTTTTGCACCGAAGTAAAGGGAAGAGCAGAATTTTCTTTTCAATATAGCATATATTCGAGATATAATTTTGATAAGTCAGTCAGGAGTTTGTTGGGCCAATTGATACTTGAACAACTTTGGCATAGGGTATATTGAATAACAGTTTTGATAAAATACAGCATCACTTATTTTTTTATGTCGTATATGAGCATGAAAATTAATTTTGGATGAAAACTGTAACCAATTTTGACATCTCATCTTCATGTAAATTCATTATGAAGTTCTTGACATTCTTAAGTTTCAGTAAATTTGACCAGTAACAAAGAAATGTGGATTTGGTTTAGGTGTAAATTTCCAAAATTTTGGTTGATTCATGGAAAATAAAAAATGTGTATTTCTGTTTCACCTGTAAGAAAGAAATAATATTTGTGTTCAAACCAAGAGTTGTTACCATGAGTTACAAAGCTAAAGCAGTGTCTGTCCATGGTGGTCTTAGCATTGCTACAAGGTTGGGGTTGGAGTTGGGCCTCCCATGTTTCTTGGAGTAATTTTGGATATTAATCACCACTGTTCTGTTATTTATATGAGTGAGCTGCTGATACCAGGGTGACAAATGATTTGTTAGCAATTTCATTCAAAGAAGGTTGAGTAAACATTTTTTTCTCTGATTTTGTGTTTTACACTGATTTTAGGTTACCATTCCTTTGATCTCTTTCTTAGGTAAGTCAAGTGTAGTCTTGGTCAGTTGGTCCTATACTTGAAGTGCATCGCGTAATCTCTTTTTAAAATCACTATCCACCCATTGGTGGCAGCTATTGGAGACAATTGAGAATACAACATTATACCCAAATTAGGGGGAAAGAGAAGGCAACCCTCCCCCTTGAACTGGGGTCGTGGTGGGAATTGTGAATCCCCAACACAACACCTGATCTTGTAGCGGCTGGCATGTCATTAGACCATTAATGCTGTGTTTGGATCATAAACAACTGTTTGGTAGCATTTCAGTAGCATCCATTCTAAATGTTCAATTTCTTCTTTCACACTAAGCTTCCACTTTGGAACCTCATTCTATTTTGGTGGTTTATGAGACAAAAAAGGTTCTAAGAATGTGGACATGTAAACATTGATACTTGTAAGTGAATACTTCAGTATCCTTTCAGGAAAGTCTAATCATGTTGTTTGTTTGCTATTGCAGTTTTTCTTGACAAAGCACTATAGGAACCGGAGGTTGGGTGACCCTGAGTTTGTGCTAGATTTTGAGGAGATTTATGTTATCGATTCAAAAACAAAGTCAATTACCAGAGCAAAAGTTTTGGTAAGGAATTGTGATAGCTGTGAATCATTTGCCTTCCACTTCCCTTTCAAATTCTAGGGGTATTTTTTGCAGGCCATTGATTTAGGTGAACCATACCATGCACTTCATTTACAATTACATGTTGTCAATTTGACCACAATAATGCTTTAGGTAGGTCAACTTAAAAAGACTGTATATTGTTAAGGGACCAATAGCTATTATTTTTGAATCCTTGGGGCACATCGGTTCCATTCCTCCTATTGCATCCCCTTCTCTTCCTTGAGCTCGAACGGACCAAATTAGTGGAAACTAAATCATGGAGGATTCAATCATTGTACATGATATGTTGGAGGTTTTGTTATTCCATGATGAACCTAAGTTTAGTCTATAAAATGAATTTTTTTCCTTCTATTTTTTTATAAATATTTTCGTACTACACATATGAATTCTTAGACTTGCTAAATATTTTCTATTTCCTTCTTTGGTGTATTATTATTGAATTAGGTTACTGTTCCAGAAGGAAGGAATAGGGATAGAAAAAAAGACTTGCTTGTTATACGCGATAATGGGAACTCCTTCAAAATAATTCCCATGGTGACTATTTCTGATCCAAAAACTTTCCTGTTATCTAATGCCTGTTATTTTATTATAGTTGATTCACTGCTGCAACCTTTGTAATTTCAGAGTGAAAGAGATGATGCCACGACCGTGATAGAGAGGGAAGAGTGGAACAAAAGTAGGCAAGACATGGAGAGACACCTTAGCAAGCTACGGGACTTCAGTGTTTCAAATTGGTTTTAATCATCTGGTTACATAAAATAGATCACCTAAAGATGGAGAGTTTTGGAGCATGGCAAATCGTGTGCACTTCAGAATGATTGGGAAGGATAATGTATATTGTTCCTTCTCCTGCGAACTTTTTTTTTTTTTGGTTTTTTCTGTGGATGGCATTCTTGGGTTTGATTACATTTTCCCTCGTGTTTATGCTGCAAATTTGTGGATTTGTCTGTCTAATCCCTATTGTACACGAGATTTTTATTTTGTGGGTGTTTGAAGAAGTGTTATTTTAGTAGGCTATTTTAGTTTTTAACTATTTTAGTAGGTTAAAATTTTTTGGAGAGATGATTAGATTTTTTTATAGTTAGATTTGATGTTTGTAAGAGAAAAAGTAAAACGATTATATGTTTGATGTGATATTTTATCTTATTAATTATTTTTGCCTATTTTATCTTTTTATGAATTTTAATCTAAAAGTGATTAAAATTTTTCTTGCCAACCAACTCCTTTATTTATTTTTATTTATTTTTTTCCCATTCTTCACTGGCAGGTTTAAGCATGCCATTACGTGTAATTTATTTATTTTTATTTATTTTTTTCCCATTCTTCACTGGCAGGTTTAAGCATGCCATTACGTGTAAATCTCCGTTGGCTGCGACTTTAAATCCGTGATCAGATTAAAACATATTGATGAGTCTGTAAGAATTTATTATGAGTTTTATTTCGATAATTTGCACTGTTCAATATGTAGAATTTATCGAGTACTATATATTTATAAAAAATTATGTTGATTCGATATTGATAGTTATGTGATCAAATTAGATTTTTGTAAGTCATTTATTTTTCACCGTCTATTTTTTTTCATATAAAATTGATTTGATTACATATCTATTGATATTCGATCAACGTAACTTTTTTATAAGTATATTGTATTCAATAAATTTGACACATAAAATTATTCGAATTATTAAAACGGAATCCATAATGAACTTTTACCGGCCTAATAATGTCTTTCAATTCATGATTGGACTAGCCATTTCACTTAAAAATCAGCTTATCGACTAGTGCAGAAAAAGGGGGTTCATTTTTGCATTGTCATAGGGTCCACTAATGTGTGCTTGACTGTCATATAGCGTTAAGTTTTGGGTTCAAGGTGAGGTGAATCATTTCAATTTTTTTTTCCTTCTTTTTATTAATTTTTTTTTTTAAAAATACACTTAAAAAATAAAATATTTATAAAAAAAAAATCTTTAATTTACAAAAAACTAAAAACAAAATAGAAATGTGACTCGAGCATCATCTGGTTAGCCTTCAGTTTCAATAGTACTCGTTATCAAATTGTATTGAAGGCTTTTTTAAAAAAATGAATTTGTTCACTTACTTTCTTTAATATATATGAATAATATAGAAAATATGATTAAACTCAAATATGTGCACTTCATAAAATTGTAATGACTTCTCATAATTATATATTTCACTATTTTACACGAATAAAGCTTCGGACCCCAGTGGGGGCGCTGGAGTCCTTTCCCATTGGTCTAAAAAACAGTTTTTGTTTTTTTTTTTTTGATTTTCAGCTAATCTCAGGCCGACACGTGGCACTGGAGGGTCACTGGAGGTCACCCCACTAGGAGTCTGTAGCATTGCTGATTTTGCACCAATTAAAATGTCTCATGTTTTTTTTTTTATTGATAGTTGTCTTAGTGTTTTATGTTTTTTGAATTTTATCAATATTTTTTTTTCTTTTTTTTTTTTGGTGATAACAAATAATTTTTATTTTAAAAAAAGGAAAAAAAATGTTTTCTTTTTTTTTTTGGTGGGCTACATTTTCAGGTCACACCACGTTGACCCAATCAATCGTAGATTCGTAGGCCTTCCACCTTGACAGTTTTGCCTCCAAGGGGTGATTTGGTATTGATTTTAATTTTTTTTTGTTTTTAATAAAAAAGTGATAAATTTGAAAATTTGTTAAAATTGTAAAAAAAACTGGGTGGGTTTTTCATTTTTCTAACTTATAACAAATTTTTTTTTTGAGTTTTTAATTTATTTAATCAAATAAGCCAAAAAAAAAAAAAAAAAATGACTTATCTAACTTATGACAAATAACTTTTGAATTTGAAAATCTTATTTCTTAGGGCTAGGGTTTTTTCTCTTCTTAGGACACCTATAAAACACTCTACGGTCCAACTTTTGACTATTTGATACTTTGCTATTTTGGAAAGATGATTACGGCATGTTTGGGATAAATTAAAAAATATATATCTTATTTAATGGTAGCTTGTGATTATTTAAAAAGTTAAAAAATTAAAAGGGTATAATAGTTATTTTGATATTATTATAATATTTTATTACATATATTTTTGTAAAAAAATTAAAAAATTATCTAAAATATTTTTTTTTTCTCTATTTTTTTAACAAAAAAGTCAAAATGTGCATTTATATAGCACATCTCAAACAATTACTAAAAGTTAACTTTTTAGCTTTTTTTTTGGACTTTTTTTGAAAAAAATTATAAAAAATGTGAGCGATGATATGACCAAAAATGAACTAAAAAAGTGAACAAAAATTCACTTTGCTTAGTTCCATTTTTTCAAAAATACTTTCAGAAAATTTTACTTTTTGTTTTTCGTGATTTTTTTGTTTTACTGAATTTTTTAAATATTTTAAGCAATTTTATTTTTTATTTTTTAGACATACCTAACATAAATATACCTAAAAAGTAAAAAAATTGTGAAATTTTTTTAAAAAAAATTCACTAAATATCAAAAATACAAAAAAAAAGAGAATTCCGTATATTTTTTATATTTTTATGTATTTATCAATTTTTTAAAATAGTTTTTCACCAATTTTTTACTTTTTAAATACATCTAAGGTGCATCTAAGAAAGTAAAAAAAAAAATGTTTAAAATTAAAAAAATATACATTAAAAACAAAAAAATACGAAAATAAAAAAAACTCAATTTTTAAAAATTTAATCTAAAAAAACTCAAACCAAATACACTGATAATTTTATGGACTCAAAAAACTTACTCAATGTTTCAATTCAAATGGATTTATTTTTAGACGGGGGAAAATTTCAAATAAATTAGAAGAACAAAAAAATAATAATTATAAAAGAATGGAGCATCAATAAATAATTGCGGAGGACATGCAAAATTACAAATGCCTTCGTTTGGGATGTTGGTTAATTTTTTGACTTTTTAACTATTTTTACCTGGGGTTAAAAAGTCTTATTTGGGATGAGTTTCTTGATTTTTTTAACTTTTGTGAGAGAAAAAATAGAATAATTATGATTTGAATGTAACATTTTGTCTTATTAACTTTTAGACTATTTTATCTTTTTGTGGCTAAAATAACCCCAAAATCACATACCAAACATAGCCAAAACAATAACAAAGCAGTAAGAAAAATTATAGGCTTTGTTTGGTACAACTCTGGAACTAACGTTCCTGAGCTTATTTTGCATATAATGTTTGTTTAGGAGTTTCAAATCATAATTCTACACTCACTTTTGAAACTCGGTTGAAGGTTAAAAAATTTGGACTAACTGGTCATCCCACCGAACGTCCCATTGATCGTCCGGTCGGTTGATCAGAATAGTATAATTTTTTATTTATTTATTGCAATTGACATGTTAATTTTTATATATTCGAAAAAAATATTTTCTGATTTTTTTAAAAAAATTTATGTGCTTTAATAGAATTTTGAGTTGTATGTTTGGTTATGAGTTGTAAATTTTCGTATCAAATATCATATGTCACATCAAAAATTCCCCACTCAATTCAAATCTCTTTCACCAAACAAATTTTTCATATTCAAATCATATTTCAAAACTTACAAACTTAAAATACAACTCCTACTCTCAAATCATATTTAGAAAGTTCTACCAAACGCAACCATAATATTATCAAAATATCTTCCTTTGTCTCACCCATCTTTCCTTTCTCTTTTTATTTATTTTTTATTTTTTATTTTTTTTGCAAATCCTATCCTACTGTTGGCACCATAAATCTGTTATTATTATTATTGTTATTGATAAATTGCAAGACACATGGTACTCTTCTACTCATTTGGAGGCTATGAGAAGTTATGAATCATTAAACATATGTGAAAAGATGATGAAGAATGTGGAGGATCATGGAGCATAATGTGGAAGAACATGGAGCATGAATTGGAAGTTAAAGGAAGTTATGAAGACATGGAGGGATATGTGGCATTGTGGGAATAAAGATGGAAGACTAGGTAGTTTTAGGTGGTTGTTGGAAAGTTATTGCTGAAAGTTTTTTCCTATAAATATTTTCCTATAAATAGCCATTCATGACTACATTGTAGGGACCTAGACTCAGATCCATAAACTAGTCATTTACTCCATATTTTCTTTCTAGTTTAGTTCTTTATATTTTTAACACTTCAATTCTTGTATTGCACTTCATTTCCTATGAATAGTTTCAAGTAATCGTTGTTGTAAATCTTTTTAAGATTGGGTCATTTCATTGTAAGTTCTTATTCACTCAATGAAATTTAATTTCTAAATTGTTCCGTACTTGTTATTTCTTATAAATTTCTCCTAAAACAAGCTACTAATAAAAATCCTTTTCATTGAGGTTGAATGAACCTTAATACAATCGTCTGATAATTGATTGGCAATTAAAATTCTATAAGACTGATTAATCTTTATTGACACACTTAAATTTCCACTGTTAACCTTCGAAAGTGAAAAAAGCCAACATATATTTTTGGCACGTCCAGTGGGACTATTATACTGGCTAGACGTAGACAACAAGGAGAAAATGAGCGTCTTGAAGAAGGCATAAAAGAAAAAATGACAAATAAATTAAATTTTGCTATTCAAATTTGTCAAAATAAAATATATTGGTGTGAAAGAAAAATTTTGGATCTTCAAAAAGAAATCAATTTTCTTGATGAAGAAAATTTCCAACTTGTTTCTTCATTGCCATATTATTTGGTAGAAGAAAAAATACACCATTTAATTGGAGTAATTCATCAACTTGGTGTGAAAATTTGTCAATGGAGACATGAGTTATCAACCTTTCTTGTCAAGTCTTCAATGACTGAATTTTGTGAGGTTTTACAAAATGTTTTCAAGTCACTTGTGACTGAAATTAGTGAAAATATTTCATCAATGGCTCAGGGGGTTCAAGAGCCCGCTTTTAAAGAGCCAAATTATTAAATTAACATAACAAAAGGGCATGTTCTAGAGCCAAATTTGGAATGATGTTCCATGCATGGCTCGGGGGTTAAAAACCCCATTTTTAAAGAGCCAACTTATGAAAATAACATGGCTAAAAAGCATGT